CCCCCTGAGCCTCCTTTTCTCCAGCTGAGCCCCCCCAGCTCATCCTCATCAGACTTGTGGTTCCCCCCCATTTCAGGTCTCTTCTTGAGCACACTGGGAGGGTTTTAATTGGTTTTAGAATGAAAACCCACAGTCTGAGCAGTTCCAGAGCCTCATCCTCAGGCTGTGCAGCCCCACCAGCCTATGCAGGAGTGAGTCCCCTCTGCTGGGAGCCAGGGAACACTCAGAGCTTTGGGTCAGGGCTGCCTTGTGGGCATCACCTGCCTTTGGTGTGTCCCAGAAGTGGCACTGGAGATGAGGGGACCGGTGTCAGAGAGGGTGACAAACAGCTTTGCCTCAGTCCCATCCCCACAGGGTTTTCTCATTTCCAGGGGAACATTAACCCTTGTGCTTCAGTTCTGCAGGAAAGAGCTGGAGAGGGAGCCTGCAGGAGATCTGGATGATGCTCCCCAGAGGCTGATGGGGGCCCAGGAAGAGCTCCAGGGGATGACAGAGGAGTTGGATGCACCGAGCAAGGAGCAGAGTGCAGCAGGTAAAGCCACTCCTGATTCCTGGTTGTTCTCAGCCCAGCCCACTCAGGGTAAGGTCACTTCCCACCTCTGGGGAGGGAGGGCAGCCTCTCCTGTCTCCTCCCTGCTTGGAATGTGGGAAAATCAGGTGTTAGCCTGCTCCTTAGGAGATGGGAATGCAATAATTAACAGTTACAAACCCATTCATTCTGAGACTGGGGCTCTGTGATCCCTGAGAACCAGATCTGGGCTGAATTCCTCTCCCTGGCTCCTCCACAGGGAGAAATTCCTGCCCTAGGAGGGGATGGAGAGGGAATGAGGACCTGGTACAGGAACAGAGTAGCTGCAATACCATGTGCACAGGTTTTGCTGGAGCCCCCATCCCAGGCTTCTCCACATGCACTTTGGGTATGTTGCCTCTCTGGGAGCCCTTGGCAAGAGCAGCAGTGATGAAGTGACTACTTAGACTGTGTCCCTTCACCTCATTTCTGAAATAACTGCTGCTGACTAGCCCTTATTTATTTTTAGTATTTTTCTATAAATACTGAAATATTTATGTATACTGAAATGCTGTGGAAAGGAACAGTTTTCTGGAGGGAGATGTGGTAAAGCTGCTCTCAGAGTGGTCCAGGTGCTTTGCTGGACACAGGGGTATGGCTGCTTTTTTGGGGGGAGGTTCCTTGCATTGTCCCTGTCATGTGAAAGGTGGGAGTTCAGATTTTTGCTCATTTTCTTTTTGTTTGGGTGGAGTTGGAGTGGCTCTAGTCATAAAGACTTTTTCATTTCTGATGGGTGTACCCAGTGGGAGGGGGTTTGGCACCTGAGGAGGGGCTTGGATGTGGTTGTGGCTTTGGCAGCAGAACATCCTGATTGTCCCTTGTCAGCCACAGTCTCAGTGCTGCAATGTTCTCCCATCCTGCTGGGATTAGGATGGAGGAGGCCACATGGTCTCCACCTGGTCCCACACTCCCTTCTGTTCCTCTGAGCAGATGTTTGTGGTTGTGTTGAGGAGCATCTCGACCTCTGTCCACCCAGGGAGTTGCAGGTACTTTTTCCCTTAAATTCTGAATCCTCTCTGGGTTTAACTTCATCCATCATCTCACAGTCCCTGAACCTGTGGTGCAGAATTCCAGTGGAGAGCAGCAAACTGGGGTGAGATGCCACATCCCAGCCCCACGTGAGGCCAAGTCACTCCAGGAGACTCCAGGTTCAGGTGTCCTGGTGCTGTGTGTGAGGACCTGGCCCTCCCCCCAGGAGCTTCCAGGACCTGGCAGCTCCTCCCCAGCCTCCAACCCCATCCCACCCAGCCCTTTAATGCCAGGCAGGGCTGTGCTGGGTGTGTGGATTGATCCACGTGTCCCCAGGGATGG